CTCTCGGGGAGTGCTGATTGTAGTCAGGCTCTGCTGTCCAGGAGCAGCAGCGAGGACGCAGACCTGGGCCAGCACAGGGGCCACAGCACAGGGGCCACCTTGCTCCCCTGCCAGTTGGTGGTCTCTGTCACAGCTAGCCTCGGTACTTCTTCTATTTGGCACATTGAAGAAGCCCAGGTGTAGGCACATGGGTTGCGGCGGCCACAAAGACACTAAGTGAAATATACTAATGACAGTCTCCAGTTTTTTCTTTTGCTCACCTAGAATGTGTGTCTAATGTTTAGTTTATTTAAAGTTATATTTAAATAGAGAACTCTCTTTTTTGAAATTTATTTTCATGCCTAAGATTTCTGTTAATTGGGATGTAATTATTATGCTTATTAAGAATGTTCAATGAAACACCAAAAGAAAAAAGAAAAGCATTTTTTTATAACATACAAAAATAGTCAATTTGATCAATTCTATTAAAAACATGAATCTGTTGGAAAGATCAACCCAGCGGATTTTAGGGGCTCTCACAGATGAAGGTCGGTTAACAATCTACATGTCAGTGTTCTAGCAAGTTGTAGAATTGATTCTGCTGACCTCACCCAGTTCCTGAGTGTCCCAAAGCCACTCACTAGTAAAGCAGGAAAGCTGTGAACCCATGTCACTCCGAATCAGGGGGCACACTATTATAGGAAACCCTGGGTTTATTCCAGCCACTGACTCATCGGACAACAGAATGCTACCCATCAAGGGGTCACTGTGGTTCAAGAAATCCTGGGAATGCCAACTATGAATAGTTTGCCCAGACCTCCCTGGATTCCTTCCCTCCGAGGATGACTCCAAACTCTGCATGACTCCAAACGTCACATGACTCCAAACTCTGCAGGACAGGAGCCCTGGAAGCTAGGCTGTAGAGCACCATAGCCAATTTCATCCCAAATGGAAGCTACCTGGGTTGAAAACATTGGTAGGTCAGTTTAATACAGTGTTGGCACCTGACATCACTTCATATCCAAAGGCCATGAATGGTAAAAGCAACCAGTGTTAGATCTTGAAGATAGAGCAATACAGGATGATTAGGGTGGGGCAGGGGAGAGTGGAGATGGACTTCCAAGAACCCCAGGGGCTGAGAGAGCAGGCTTCTGCCAAGAAGAGGTATCTTTCGGGCAGTGAGGTTTGGTATTACATCTTAGTGTAGTTACAAGTGGGCTACCTTGGATTTGACCAAAGTCCCTAAGTAAATAATAATGCTTTGAAAAGAGACTAGTAGGAAAAGAATATGAAGAGAAAATGAAAAAAAAAACCAGAAATGTCTTTATCACGGATCCTTCCCTCCAGTCTCCAACACGCCCGTAGTTTTCATGCTTACCTGAACATAGTGATATGCTCTAAGCCTAAGTTCAAAGCACTGAAGAAAACAAAACAAAATAAAAATTGTAGCTGGCATTGTGTGTTTACACACCAAATTTCTCCACATTACATGGACAGAACCTCTAGAAGTGTAGCATTGCACGCAGATGTCTTCCACAGTGTCCTCTGCACACGTGCTGGACACAGAGCCAGCTGGGACCCAAGGGAGGACCACACTCCACCATGATGTTACAGGCACGTGAACTTGCACTGCACACATCAAATAACTTCAGTGGACATGCAAAGAAAAGTTCACCAAATCTAGGATGACAGCCTTCATCTCCCCTTTTGCCCAGTTAAATTAACTAGGATGGATCTATGGAGGTCAGAAAGGAAGCCCAAATCATCCGTGTGCACACACAATGACCCACTGAGGCTCCTACCTTCATCTTCACAAAGAACCTTCTAAAAGAAACTGTTAACAGGACATGTACCAAACACCACAGCCAGAGACGTCCGCACGGGCCCAGGGGACACCTGCAGAGCATGTCCAGGGACTACGCGCACCAGGCACAGATCCATGGTAGGTGAGCGCATGAGAAGGGGTTTTGTTCTGATGTTCAAAGTCCCCATCACACTCCTCTCCAGCAGTTTGTGTGCTGAGTTGTCTAAATCTCACTTCAAGTCAAACTGCAGGTGGACGGTCTTGAAATCAAGTCAATCAAATCAAGGGCTACCCCTGAAACCCCCCTTCCAAAGGCTTTCGTGGAACACATGCTACCTTCTACTTTCAAAGGCTAAAATGGACAAACCCATGGCCTTCCAAGTTGTCAGAACTTAAACGAGTCCCCTGGGGTGGAGGTCAGCTCTCTCGTTCTCCAGGGTACACGGTGCTGATCTGGCCTTACATGATAGGAACAGCAGCAGCCCTGGGTCTGAGAGGCAGAGAACCCCAGCTTCTTCCCCTGTTCAGAGGTCATGAGACACCACCAACTGTCACTCCAACGTCATACCCAGTGATGTCCCTTCTCCCATTGTCAAAGGGACACGCTCACACACACCACAGGCCAAGGGCACACAGTGCATCTCTACCTCACAAAGCATCTGCCTTGGCTCCCACTTTCAAATTAAGATCTTCACAGTGACATGGCCGTTGACATTGCGTCCCTTAATGGTTTCTACAGTGACACATTCCCAGGCAGTTAGCAAGCAGAATTTTTATTTGCCAGATACAAAGGCTATAATAAAATCTTTAGGCCTTTCTAAGTTCTAAAAAAAAAAAAAATCGCACAAAAAATTATTTCAAAATTAAGACAATCACTGATTAATATGGATACAGGTGTTTGCCATTGCCTATTACCTGGGGATACAGAGGTAATAGTATACAGCCCCCACAGCACAGCTTCTTATTTTGTTCTAACATCATGCATTTCCACCAAAAGGATGAGAAATGTTTGTTGAGATACAATTCTTGCTTCTTTTCTTAGAACTGGCAACCACATGTTCATTAATAATGATAATAGAGTACTTCCAGGTTGCTACCTATCATGATGTGACATGAGTTTCCACTGAATTCATTAGTCCTTACACTAAAGAAAAGGGTGCGCGTCTTCCCAGAGCAACCCAGGTCAGAACCAATACGGCACAAGTAGCTGTTGAATTTGTCCCCCCAGTGGGAAAACGACCAACCACACCGAGAGAGCCATTTGCAACATTTAATTCCTTACCAATACCCTTTATCTGTAAAATCAACTTAAGAAATGCCCTGGCTTTGCTCTAATATCATAACTGAACAAAGGAAGTCAAAGCATGGGCAGTCATTTAAACACCACCTCTTCTGAGGTCAGGGGGCAGCACTGTTCTCAACTATTTCTGCTAAAACCAAACTGCACGGGCTAGGGGTAGCCAAAAACCAGCACTTGGCTGTAAAATGCATGCAGGCCATGCAAAGGTTCCAAGGGCGCCCAGAGAGGCACATTTCCTGCGCCTGAAGAATTTTTGTGACTTCATGTCTCTTGTGATGTCAAAGAAGAACCACAGACTCCATTTTGGAGACTCAAGCCATCTGCCTCGACGCTCTCCTCCAGTCTGCACCTGCCAGCAGCTGAGGCACAGGCGGGCCACAGAAGCCAAGGGGGCACAGGAGCAGCTGCTCTCCCTACCTGCCTACCTGCCTGGGTTTGGATGGCTGCCCCACGTGTCTTTTCACCACCTCATTTTCCACAGCTTAACCAACAACCAAACCTTCCCATCTGGCTCATTTTCCCTTTGCATTTTAACTACAGCCCAGAAAAGGCTGGCCTACTTCATTTGGGCCTACTTTTAACCAAATCCAGAATGCTTTAAGTGAAATAAAAAGTGTCTGCCTGGGTTTCTTTTATGTGGAAATCCGATATCCAAGGATCACTTTTGTTTCCATAGGAAATTCTCCATCTTCACTTTTCCAGTGGTCTTATTCCAGGCAAAGAAGTACCCAACTGCTTCCCCACTCCATCTCCCCTTGAATCAAACACATCACTCCATTTGCTCAGCCCTCACCTCCAACTTCAGGAGGATGCGGAGGGCCCTGCCTGTGCAGGGGATAAAGATTCCTCATGACGCAACCCCGAGCATCCCTGGATTGGAGAGGCATGGAAGCAGGCAGTGGCCCTCCCTGCTGCCCCTCATGGCAACCAACACTAGGGGGACAGCACCAGCACCCCTCCCTGCAGACACAGGGATCCTGCAGGCAGACACCCACCTCCACAGGGCCATTCATCCACCCCAGTGCACATGACAGCAGGACAGGCACGGAGGGGAGATGGCCAGCCAGCCCCAGCCAGTGCCTCCTGGCCTCCTCCACCTCCGGCCACCTCTCCATCCCAAGCCAGCCTCCCTTTCCCCCCCCCACAGAGCTTCAAGTTCACACAGATCTGGGTCCCAGCACAGGCCTAATCAGTTCATGCCACCCCACCCCCAGTTTCCTGAAGGCACAGGGTAGAATCCCGTTTGTGGGGGAAAGTCTACTGGAGTTGTCTTGCCACAGGCAGCTCTCCAGAGGACGGCTGGGCATTCCTGTGGAAGGCTCTCCACTCCCAGGCTCTCCTGCAGGTGCTCCGTTCCTGTTTCTCCTCCCCCTCCCCCTACCTTGCTCCTCGCTGCTGCCCCCAAACCAGGCAGTGGGTTCCTCCTCTGGGAGCTGGGGCTCTCCTGCACCTCCTGCGCCCTCGAGGGCTTTGCGCTTCTTCGACATCTCTGCCCAGGGCTGGGGCTTGGGGGTTTTCTTTCCCCACCCCCTGGCCCTCCCCCCTCAGAGAGGAGAGTGAAGGTGGGGTTAGGTGGAGGGGAGGGGGTTAGGTGCCGAGGAAAGGGGTGGGGAGAAGAGAGACCAGGGAGGGAGATGGAGAGAAATTGCTGCTGGAAGAGGGGAAGGGACGCTAGAGTGGCAGGAAGGCAGGAGGGGCCGGACTCGGTGCAGAAATCTACAATCAGTTCCATCAGCGGAGCCCTACTCCAGGGCTATTCCTCCTCTCTCTCTCTCTCTCTCTCTCTCTCTCTCTCTCTCTCTCTCTCTCCCTCCCTCCCTCCCTCCCTCTCTCCCTCCCTCCTTCTCTCCCTCTTTCCCTCCCTCCCTCCCTCCCTCCTTCCTCCTTCCTCATTTTCCTTCAACTAGAGGGGTAAACCAGGAAGGGAGGAGAGATCAAACCCAGGGAGGAGAGACTCCTGGGCACTCTGCGGATTCCCTCCTCATTTGGGGGTGGGTGGATGCTATCTGGGGGACTCCTGGCCCTGTGAGTAAGGAAGGAGCGATCTCCTGGCTGTTCTGGGAGCCCATGTGTGCATGTGTGGTGGGGGTGTGTTTTCAATGGATTGCAACAAAAACTGAGTGGAATGAAGAAAATAAAGGGCTGCAGGACTCAGGAGCAATGCTCTTGGGTGCTGGGGACTCGGGACCCCTCCTCCCCCATGACATCATATGATCTTTCCAAGAGGCTGGGGATGGGAGGACAGAGGAGAGGGGAGGCAGAGGCAGGGATGGCAAGATCAGGGGGATCCTGTCCCCACTGAGAACCGGGGAAAGGCAATGGGAAGGAAGAAGGAAGTTGAGGTACACGCCAGCCCTGCTCCAGGCCACCTCGAGAGGCACCTGAGGGTCTGGCCGCTGCGGTTTTCAGCTGGCACGCAGTCTTCCCTGGGAACTTGGAGCTTGAAAACTCCTTGGGTCAAGCATTAGCCCTGAGGCTAGCACTAGTGCCTTCTCTGCAGCCCCGAGTCTGCGGCTTTGTAATTCACTTCTTATTCTCTTCCACTCATTGCCCAGCCCCTCAGGCAGTTCCACCAACACCCCCCCACACACACACACACAAGCACATATTTTCTTATTGCCAAAAAGGATGGAGGGAAATGCTCTAAAGTTTTGGGGGTTTTTTTAGTTAAAAAAAAAGGTTGGAATTAAGTTTTTCTGGACTCCCAAGGGTTAAACGATAAGTAAAAGGAATCATCAACTTACCCGCCAAACTACCGGCAAGCGCGTTTCTGCTTTCCACTTCATTTCTAGTTCAAAATTCAAAGGGGCCAGGGGAGGCAAGGCGCGGGAGCACGGCAGGTCCAGGACTCCATCCCGAGCTGCTCATGCAAGTTACCAAGCAGGGGTGGCCCAAGTTCAGGACCTGTCCAAGACGCTTGCTCTCTGCTCCACGCAGCGGCATATTCCAAGGGCTAGAGCACTCTGGTTTCCACGCTGATCTTGAAAAGGAGTGACAACTCTAAACCGTGTGTGGGGTTCCCTCCTGTCCATCTGGGGGTCTCCAGAAAGGCAGCACCAAGCGCTCTGAGCGCCAACGAGGACCAGTCCATCCCACATCAAGCTCTGAGCCGCAGCAACTTCGGACCCACACACCTGTGAGTAGACTATGTGTGCGAGTGTGTGCGCCTGTGTGCACGCGCGCGTGTGCCCACGCGTGTTCACTGTGTGTGCCTGTGCGCACACTTGACATTTGGGGGTGCATGTGCTCTCAGGAACACCCTCGTTGGCTGTCTGGAACTTAGAGAGTTTTCCTTTAAGCCAGCGATGCTGTTGGATATCCCCCCCTTCCCCGCCCGTGTCCAACAGGAGGCGATGACGTCTGTAGCCTCGTTGCCAGAACAGTCCCCAGGCTGCCGCTGCTGTTCATTGACAGGAGCAGGCGCTCGGACGTCAGCAGCCGGACCTTTGGCGAGGCTGCTCCCGCGGAGACGGCTCCCACCCCCGCACCTGCCAGCCTGGGGGAGTGGGGGTGATGAAATCAAAGCCAGCGGGGAGGGAGCCTGGGACACGCGCTGGGCTGGGGAAGGGGGTGACTCGGATCTGCCCTCTTTGTCCTGGAGCCCCTGATATATAAATAGTGCAGTCTCCAGCCAGATTCGCACCCCCTCCTGCGCTCCCCCCCCCCGCAGGGCCCGCCCCCGCCCCTGTCACTTTGTCCAGCTCACTCGCTAGGAGGGAGGCAGGGGGCGGGGGAGCAGGGAGTGGAAAGAGCCCATGGTTCTCTTCCTCTTCCCATTCATAGATTCGGTTAGAGTCTCGAGGCCGCTGCTCAGGGAGTCGCAATGAATGGATGGATGCCCAATAGCGGGGACAGCCGGTCCGCAGAGGCGTCGCCATTTCAAGGGGCGCTCTTTCCATGCCTTATCACGCATCCTCGCCTAGGCGCGTGGGAGGACCCCCAAGTGACCATTTTTAAGAGGTCAAAGTTCTGACCTTCCTCCTCCTGGAACCTGCTCTAATGGGTTTTTCGTTTTTGCATTTTATCTGCTTGTGCAGTGCCAAGACAACGCACCACGCTGCGATAGCCCCTCACCGTGGGGAACCAGGCTGGGGACCCAGTCTAGGGCGGTTCTGCAGTCCTGAAGGTAGCAACAGCTAGGGGTGCATCACGTGGCACAGGCAGAATATCACCTCCCACTGAGCACGACAGTGGCCCAGGTCCAAGGGCTCCCACCCCAGAGCACCCAGGGCTGCGGCTCCTGGGAGGAGGACGCGTCCTGAGGGTGCGCAGACCGCAGCGCGGGTTCCACACCTGAGTCCAGCTCTCAGGGAATAGATGGACCACGCTCGCTGTCCGATACTACCGAGGCCCAAACAGAACCCTGGGGCATCTTGGGATCAAAGCGCCACAAACCAGGCTGTGAGCTGCCCAAGTCTCTCCCAGGAACCTAAAGGATTGAGGCTCCCTACCCACCGCAGGAGCTCCATAAATCTAAAGGCTACTATAGGATATAGGGCACCTGGGCTGAAGCAAGGCTGAGTCGTTTGCTATCTTAAGACTCTGCTTGGGGCAGTGACCACAGATGCCCAGGTTGTAGTGACCAACTGCACAGAGCTCTTAGGAGCTGGGCATGGCCAGATGGTGGGAGAATACCTTCTCCACTGGTGTTCCTGTCTCCCGAAAAGGTCAGCTGGGCACTAGAGTCCATCCTGCAGTAGGAGGGGAGACCTTCACAATCGTCCCCCTGGCCGGCAGCGGTCACCTGCCGGGGCCTCCCTCCCCCTGGTTCTCTGCTTCCCTTCAGCATAGGCTGGAGCGAGCCCAGGCTCTGACTCTGGGTTCCCCTTTCTATGGCTCTGGAAGCCACCTGAGAACATTTCTTAGGAAGACTGCTGTTTCCACCAGCCAGGTTTGCTCTATGCTGCTCCATCTTAAGCGGAGCTCAGTTTATTTCATCCACCTTATCAACCTCCTTGGACCCACCTCCTCATTCCCTCTTTATAAACAAGCCCATCCTTTGCCTGACTTCCAGACCCTGCACTCTCCAGAAACATGCCCTTCCTGCCTCCAGGTCTTTCTCTTAGTCACATCTGCTGACCCCATCTCCCAGCTGCTTGATGTTGGTGGGTTCCAAGGCTCAACGCAGACATGTTAGTTTTACATCACTACTTCTCTGTTAGTGACCCTGCTCAGCCTTGTAGTTTTAAGTACTCTCTGAGTGCTGATCTCTCTCACATTTGAAGATTTAGCTCAGTCCTCTCCTCTGAACTCCAGGCTCAGATCCAGCCAGCAGCTGTTCTTGGGTGACTAGAAGGCACCTAAAACCCAACATGATCGTCACTCTGGATTTTATCCCATCACAAACCTGCTCCTCCCACAGTTTTTCCCTTCTCTTTGTTGCCCTTGGGCCAAATTCATTGGAGTGAGACTGACTCCTCCTTCCTGATCCCCCATCCCACCTGTCCCCTCTACCTTGCCAGACTCCAGTGCCTTTCACTACCCCGCTGACCCCAGTCATCTCTGGGATGCGGCTGTCACTCTTGCTCAGCTCCCTGTATGTTCTGTTCTGCTCACACCCACTCAGTGCTATTCTCAAAGTAACAGCCAGACCATCTTGTTACAATTTAATGCCATGACACTTCCCGATAGCTTCTCCACTACCCAGTGATAGCCAAACCGATAGCCTTCAGATGAGCCAGAACCCCCTTGCTATGTGCAGTGTGCGGAGGTGTCTGTGAGGACTCCAGTACTCCTTTCCTTTATTTCAGCCTCACTCTTCCCATGTTAAGGCAGCAAACAAATCCAATCTCGGAGCATTGTGTCAGCAAACAGGCGTCACGCCTGTGCCCTGGGAAGGGGAGAGCTGGCCATGTGAGCTGGAGCGGGCAGTGTCCCTTCCTGGGATGTGTCCTGGACTCTGTGTGTGGCTGGCTCCACCTGGCCTCCACTCCCCTCCCCCTTCTCCTGGCCTCTTCTGCTTACTTCCCCACTCCATGTCACTGCTTCCAGGGACTAAGACCTCAGTGAGTTCTTTGGAAATAAAAGACGTGCTGTCAGCTTTAGGACTTCCTGCAGTGTGGAAGGGCTTAGCTTTGGTGTGGGTGCTGCTCCCCAAACCAGACTTTCCCTTTTCCCTTTTCTTGGAAGAGCATTTACCTGTTCTTCTCATTTGAAAAGAGAAATCTCCAGATACATAGAGTGTTAATTCTGACCGCTTCCAAGGAAGAGTGCAAAAAGAAAAGCAAAATCAAAGTAGCAGTATTTGACGAAGAATACTGCTGTCTAAACACCTGCTGGTGGAAGAGCTGATGTTCCACCACGCTCTGGCCTGAACCTGACCCTCCAATTCATTTGTTGGGAACTCCATCCCCAGTACAACAGTGTTGGGATGTGGGCCTAATGAGAGGTGTTAGATCACTGATGCATGGATTAACGCCACTACAAAGGGCTTTCCAGAGTGGGTCTGCCTTTTTGGTCTTCTGCCTCATGATGACACAGTAGGAAGCTGCTGCAACCTTGACCTTGAACTCTTCATCCTCCAGGATGGTTTTTTGCTTAATAATATCTCTTGGAAGCCACTCCACAAGGGTTTGCCGTACATTCCCCATGGTTTCTGTTTTGACAGTTGCATGGCATCTGTGACATACAGGGACCACAGTTTATTCAGCCTGTGCTTGGACCTTTAGGTGGGCAATTTTCAATATTTTACAATGACAAATTATGCCTCAATTGACTATTCTGTGCATGTATATCTTTGTAGCATGAGATGTATAACATTAGGGTAAATTATGCCAGTTTATAATTATAATAATTTTCTTTTTTGAAGAATATTAAGTAAAATTTCCCAAGTCTGAACAGATCCGCGTTAAATAAAAAGTAGATAGTCAAGGCTGAGGTGGAGCTCAATGGCAGGGTGCTGGCCTTGCATGCATGAGGCCCTGGGTCGAGGCCCCAGAGACCAGCTCTGAAAAAGCAAGTTAATGGCTTTTAAGTGAATGACTTGGTTCACTGAGCTGCAGTGGGGGGGCCTAGGGGTCGGCTTGTCCTCAGGTAACTTGGAATGTGATGGGCTGCATGGCATGGAATATAAAAGAAGCTTCTCTCACACTTGGTTCTGCAGGAGGCAGAGACGTTTCCCAGGTGGCACCCTCAGCCTTGTATGACAACGGACCAGGGACAAATAGGCAGAGGCAGCCATGCCTCCCTTCCCAACCTGTCGGGCTCCTGCTCTGTGGATATGGTGGAGTCATCTGCTGCAACTCAGCTCCTGTTTCTATATCTGCAAAATGGGGGTAAAAATATTTTCCATAATTGCCTAACAGATTTATTTTAATTCTCAAATGCATGAATCATTTATAGGCATAAATGACCAAGTTTTATGAATTGGTCATCTATGTTCCTTTCTTCTGTTTTTTATCTTGATATCTATCAATCATCTTTTACCTATCAATTGTCTATTGCCTACCGTCGTCTGCTTATTATCTATCTGTAATCTATCACATGTGTATCCATCCACTGAGCCACCTATTGGCTATGCATCTAGGATATTTCTATCTACACCTAGCTTCTTAGTAACCACCTCCCTTTATATATCTATAGTCTTGGAAAAGTCCTCCTTTGAAGACAGTCCTCCTTTGAAGGCAAGAACATTAAGGGAAACTGAGAGACCTGGAGGTTTTGGGTACTCTTTAATGCCACCACTGTTAGCTCTCTACTTAGCTCTGGAAAAGCTACACCCCCTTTCTGGGTTTCCTCTCCCACTGCTAGGAATGAGAAGGCTGCATTCCCTCCCTGGAGGAGTCCTCCTGGTTCCAAATGTGATGCTTCATGTAACTTATATCAGGTTGGCAGTGGGGGCATTCAAAGGGTTGGGAGGAGCCTCACAGCCCCTCTTTGAAGAGCTTCACTAGGAAAAAAGTGATTTGGAATGGAAATTTATGCAAGAAGAACTGCTAGTGATCCTTAATGCCTAGGACTGCTGTTCCACCCAAGAGTTGCAAGGGCTTTGATTCAGGACTTCTTTACTTAGGACTCTTTATTCTTTGCCTTTCCATAAGATGTGTGAGGTTGGTAGGCTATCAGAGGAAGGTTTTAAGGAAAAAGAGGATACTCTGAATGTTTATTCCCATCACCTCAGATCAGCAGAGCAGGAAATAAGGAGGAAGCCATCCCCTGGTAGAAGGGAAGGAAACGTGAACTTGGAAAATGAAGAAAATGTGGGCACAACCAATGCGTAAATTTAAGTTCACCTTCACCAAAGATTTCAAAACCCTGATTCTAAAACAGTATTCCACTCTGCACGGATTCCCCTGGCCATGCCAGGTCCTGCTCCTTCTCTTGAGCTGGCACACCACCAGCTCTGGCTTCGGATGACCTACCAGATGTCACTCACTGCCCTGTGATGTAGGACCAACTAACAATCTTCAACCCCCTGGCACCACCTTGCCATGTCCCGTCCTGGTCATTCTCCCAGGGGTCCCTATGAAAATCTCCTTGAGTTTCTCCCCCATGCCCAAACAGGACGGCGTAGGTTGTACTGTCCTCTTCCTCTCCCACCTACCTCTGACCCACCGCAGACTAACGCTGCCCCTGGAGCCAGTCAATGCCCCCGACTTGGTTTAGACCCTCGCTGTTTTCAACTGAGATTCGACAGAAGCCACCTAGTATGTCTCCTTCCTGTCTCTCCCACTCCAGGTCCCAGTGTCATTCAATGACAAGGAAGTGTGGCCAGCATACTACCCAATAACTCCCATCACTTAGCTCTAACCTGAGCCAGCTGCTACTAGCATAGGAAGCCTTGGAGCTGGCTCCTGCCCCCTTCCTCAGCGTCACCCTCCTCTGCAGGCCCATGCTTCTTATTCTCCAGCCATATTGGACACTGAGACCACCCCCCACCCCAGGCATCCAGCTCCCTCCTGCCTCTCCCTCTACTGAAGCCCTTCCTTCTGCCTGCCACCCTGCCTTGGTCCTCCGTGGCCAACACCTGCCCGTGGGCTCCGACTCCTATTTCAGGGCTCACTTTCCTTCTTATTTCTGCTTCCTCCTGGAAGTACTCACACTAGGTCATCTCCCTTGGCACCAGGAGATCACTGTGCATACTTGGGCCCATTGCTTTATTGCAGCCAGGGTATGTGTGTGTGGTGTGTGTGGTGTGTGTGTGTGTGTGTGTGTGTGAGAGAGAGAGAGAGAGAGAGACAGACAGACAGACAGACAGACAGAGAGGTGTGCTCTGCTAGAGCGACAAGAAGCCCAACCCCTGGGTCTCCTAGAACAGTTAGCTGAAGTAAGAACTTGCTGCTGCTGGTCAGAGGCTCGATGCCAAAGCCATTCCCCTCCCTAGGGGTCCAGCTGGCCCCTTCACCAATAATTCAGGTGCTGTTCTGTGTTCAGGTGGGAACATGAGGGAAGAGACACTTATCAACTAATATTTCTTCCTTTCATTGGGAAAAATCCCACCTTTCCCAGAATCCCTCCCCAGGTTGCTTATGTCTGATTGGCCAGGACTATGTCACAGACACAGAAGATAAAGTGACAGCTCCACCTGGCTGAGCATGTGGGTCCCAAGCAGAGGCAGGGACTTGTTAGAAAGAGAGTGGAGAACAGAACTTGAACATGCATCCTGTTGCCTTCCCCACAGAGCTCAGCCTCCAGCCCTCTTGGGCCCCACCATCAGCCTGCACTTGGTCACCACAGATGTCACACCACAGTGGGCAGGTGGAAGTCAAGGGGCCTCTGGTTACCAGTTACAAACAGTATTCCCAGGGTTCCAGGCAGAAATGGCACAGGAGACAGTGTGCTCATTATACTGAGCATGTCTTAATTCTGTATGAAGAATTTGTTTCAATGATTTCAGTCTCCTCATGAGATTTTTCACTCTTGTTCTCCATTAGTGACTGCAGATTTTGGACAATTTCTGAAAAGAAAGAGCTATTATGTATCAAAACATCTTGACTTTTAGAATAGCCACTGACATGCCATAGCAAATACAGCACTAATAAATTGCAGGCTAAATGTCTTTAGCAGCAGAATTATCAAAAGAGTAGAAGAAGCACTAGGCCAGCCAAATGCTAGTGTAGGAACGTGTCCCTTTCTATGGATAACAAATGGTAGGATTTTTGCACAAAGTTAAATTGGACTGTGGTGCCTTAGGGAATAAATTAGCTTTTAAAATAATATGCAAGCAGCACACAACGGAGGTTGTGCTGAGAGTCAGAGCTATTTGGAAATGTGCATCATCTCTGTTACTTATTAAGTGTTCTCAGTCTTCCAATTCCCCTTCCCCCATGGTATCTGAAACAACTCAACACTAGGGTTGTCTTACACAGAAAATAAATAAATATGTCATTGAAGGTTGTGAAATTGCTTCTCTCAGATTTGAGATGATTCTTAACACCAACTAAGGTTTGACATGTTAAAGATTCTCCTGCAAATCTGGAATTTTCCATTGAGAAATGCTAAGACTTTGACTAATGCACAAATAAAAGGACATGCTGTCATGGCATGGAAACTATTTATAATTTGATCTTAGATCAAAGATTTTTTTCAATTACTTCTTTGGGTAACCATAGCAATATTAAAAGAAAACAAACGTATACGATGAGTGTTGTAAAAGAATTATTATAGCATGTATACGCACATGTTTAACTTGATCAAAAATGGAAAATTTTACACAACCAATTTCAGGAAATTCTATACAAATCCAGGAAGAATGGTAATCAACATCTTTAATCTATTTCAAATGTCTTTAGGTTCCTTTTTTTTGGAAAAAAAAATGTTGCTTGTGCCTACCAAATGTCTTATATCTTGTTTCACGTTTATATATCAAATACAAGCTGAAACTAGCTAATAAAATATCTCAACTGCAAGTAATTGTAAAAGGAAACGATATAATTAGCAGAGTTCATCTCTGACAGAAAATGGAAAACACACTGGGTGTAGGAAGAGAAGTGAGGAAGCAAAAAGAGAGTGAGAAATCGGCCCAGCTGTCCCTCCAGCCCACAGGGACGGGGCAAGGTGGCTCTGTCCTTCCCACGGCTGCCAACCTCAGGGCCCCCCACTGTGTGGAAGGGCTGGGATCGGATGCTCAGGTAGAACAGGAGCTCTGCTGCTGCCTGAGCTTGAGCTCGTCCTAGGGCCTGCTGTCTTTCTCTCAGGTGTGTGGCACAGAAAACCTGTTTACGAGCACCCTTGGGCCCTGCATGGCTGTGCCACTGGAGCACTGGCTGCAGAGGGCCTGGCCGAGTCAAGGGCTGGGCTGGGACAGCGTGATGGGAGGAATCAGCCAACACATGATTACAAGTTGTCATGCGTGGGGTGAAGGAGAACGACGGCCTGCAGTCCTAGGTCACAAGAAGCTGCGTGTGCTGGGTTGGGGTAGAAAATGGGCATTTTGGCAGGACCTCAGGATAGTGAGCAGCAGCCAGCATAGAGGAGGCAGCAGGTGAAGGGAACCGCCCTGGGAGATGCTCAAGACAGAAAGGTCCTTCTGGGCTGAGAGGAGGTGAGTCCTGGACAGGACAGGGCCAGAGAGTGCATGCCTGGACGTGGGCAGCATCAGCACTCTCTGAAGGCCACGGGAGGTCATCAAGAAGGTGGTGTCAGCAAGGTCACAACTGCCTTCTCCTCTGCAGAGGCTAGAGGTCCCTCTCTCCCCTTCCGTGCGACCCATCCAACATCACTGTTTGAAGGAGGTCCCCTGCCTCGCTCACACCAACACCTAGAAAACAAGAAACATGTTTCTTAAAAGAGTCTAATGACAGCTGCACTCAAAGGAAGGGACTCTGAAGACCTCCGGAGGCAAAGACAGCAGGGGTGAGAAGGGATGAGGGCAGGCCACTGGGAAGTGGCACAATCAGAGAGGAGCCGGAGGGGACCAGCAGGGAAGCCCAGGTGTAGCCCAGGTCGCCCACATGGTCTGAGCTCCCCTCTGCCCCAGCAGCACATAGAGCCTTCCCTGGGCAGGGCACTTGCAGGCTCTCTGCAGTGGAAGACACCCACCTGGGTCAGTCCTCATGAGTCATCCGAGCACAAGTCCCACACCTGGGGGTGGCAACCTCTACCTTGTGGCTGCAGCCTGGGAAGCCAGTGACAGGTGACGTCTAGGATGCCTTGGGACGCCAGGACTCAGGGCTGATTATACTGGGTGAGAAGTCCATGAGCCACTTTCCTGAGGGTCATTAGTTACAGCAGCAGTGCCTCTGGTCCTGACAGATAAGGGCAGAGGAATAGCCACCCCCCAACCTCCCAGATCCCCAAGTGCATGGTACAGAACCTGCAGCAGCCTCAGTGCCTGGCACAGCTGCTTTTGGCAGTGATCCAGGTAGAAAGAAAGCTGGGCGGTGGAGACCCCAGTCAGGCAGGTATCCCACCCACCCAGCACCAGAATTTCAGGGCCCCATCCAAAATAAAAAGTGGGGCCTCTTGTTCAAAAATTATTAAGAATTTCAGGCTAGACATGTAGCTTAGTGGTAGAGTACTTGTCTAGCACACATGAGGCCCTGCGTCCCATACCCAGCACTGTAACAAAAAAAAAAAAAAAAAAGAATTCCAGAAGGTGACAGCCAAATGATAGGTACCCTACAGAGTGCAGACCTCTGAGCTCTGTGCAGGCCACAGGCCCCCTCTCCTGTAACTCTGAACTCATACCTAAGCAGCTGAATCTGTCCTTAGCCCCAGGCAGGCTGCACACAGGGGCCACTGCTCATCAGGTCTCAGTTGCAAAGAAGAGACCAAATCAGAACTCACGGCTTCCTCCAGGGTTGTGGCCATGTGGAGGACCGGCTGACCAACTCAGTCACTTACTCAGGGGAAACCAACCCAACAGAGTGACCATCTAGACTCTCCAGTGGGATCCAATCACTAAAAAATAACACTAATCATTGCAGGAAAGCCCCAGTTAGTTTCTCTCCTGTGAGCACCTATGGCCTAGGTGCATCTGAGTTTCCCAGAGCAATGTTCTCTAACATCAAATCACCCACTGTAACAGGCTCCCTGGTGTGGTTGGCAAAAGGATGCCTCCAGAGATGCCCAGGTTGTAATCCACAGAACTGGACTTATGTCACTAAACATGACACAGGGGACTTTGCAGATGTGATTGCGGCTATAAGACTTAAGATGGAGAGACCAGCCAAAACTACCCAGGCGAGCCCACCCATCTTAATCATGAAATGTGGCCAGAGGGAAGTGCAGCATTGCTGGCTCTGAAGGTGCAGGAGGGAGCCACAAGCCAAGGGACATAGGCATCTCTAGAAGCTGGAAAAGGCCAGGGAACACACTGTCCCCCAGAACCTGCAGAAGGAACACAGCCTGCAGACATCTCATCTTACCCAGGGAGACACTTCTGACCTGCAGAACTGGAAGACAAATTTGTGTTTCTTTAAACCACCAAATCCATCGTAGTCTTTACAGAAGCAACAGAAAATGAATACAGTTAGCTTGCAGTAACCATAGATGCTGAGATTATTTTTCTTCCAAAAAATCCATTGTGGAAATGTGCCTGGTAGGTAGGGGCAGGGGCTGTTGGGTGCTCACAGTAAGGCATGTTGAAGGAAAGACCAGGAGAAGGCAGGAGTTCAGTCCACTCCCAAACATGCTCAAATGGACAGGATGATCTTTTGGGCAAGTGTGAAGGGCCAGAGAGCCCTTGGTGACTTTGGTGTCTAAGGAAATAGAGGTACATTTGGTGCAGTGCCCAAGGGTGCCATTTCCAGGACTCTCCTTAAAGAGGAAACCTGGCCAACATAGCCTTTCTAGCAAAAGATCTTCAGGGTGCAGGCAAGTTGTAGCCCTGCCTGTGCTTCTCTCCTTTAATGGGCACTAATAGCTGTGGTGCCCGGGGACCACTTTGGGTTTACCCATGCATCAGTGTGTGGACATTTGTGTCATTTCTACCTTCTGGCGATGTAAATAATGCTGCTATGAAGTTGTTTTACAACAATCAAGTATGCATTTTTAATTCCAGGGACCTCTGGATTCCCTGGAGATGAGCAGGAAGTTATAACCAAAGGACCTCCTGGGATGTCCCTCCACCAGCCTCCGAGCTGCAGGCAGCAGTGGGCTGGGAAGTTCCATGCCACTAGGCCACTAGGAATAACATATCTGCCCTCCAAGTGGATGTGAGATAGAGAAGTAAGAATTTAGGGCTGGAGGGCTGAATGTGGCTGCCAGGTTCAGGCCTCTGCCATAGGATTAATTATCTTGCCTATTCAGAAAGGAGGAAATCTGGCCAGAGTCATTCTGTGGGGGAAATGGTGAGGAAAAGGCTGGCCTGGAAATGCAGATGAACGTGTGCAGTCCTTGGCTGGCTTTGTTTAGTTAGCAGAAGCAGTCCTTACTCACTGGTCAGCCACAGCAGGAGACCCGCCCAGGCCCACCTGGAGCTGCCCCAGGCCAGATCCCCACCCTGCTCAGCCACTGCCAGCTCCAAGTTCAGGACACAGGCAGGGGACCTTGAATCAGCACACATTCAGCATAGCACACTCTTTTTTTTTTTCCCTGTCCTGACCACCTTTCAAATAGAAAAATGACCTGACTCACTAGAATGTCCTCAGGCCTTGAACAACAGGCCCTCACTGGAGAAAGGGCGGAGGACTGAGCCTTGGGACTGAGAGCCCCCAGAGGTTCTCTGCAAGGGGTTCCCATGGTAGCATCCGCGAGGGTCTCCTGGGAACAAATGTTCCCTGCCCCCAGCCCTGACCTTTTCTTAGGGGCTGTGATCTGTGGTCCCCAACCCTGCCCACCTCCTGCCTCCCAAGAAAAGGGGTGCTGGCGGTGTTGAGGGGGCAGAGGGGCTCCTGTAAGTCAGAGTCAAGTGGGTGGCAGGGGCACTGCAGAGTGGGTGCAGGCTGAGGGTGGGGGATGCAGGGCAGGCGGCTAGGGGTCCCTGCTCCCAGGCGGCCGGCCCTCGCGCACCCCTCCTGGGCCCCCTGCCCCCCCTCCCCTGCCCGCGCTGCTGGCGTCAGAGCCGCCTGCGTCAATGCTGCTCGGTGACACACAGCTTTTTTCTCCTGCTCCTTTTTCTCAATGAGAAGAGCCTAATGGGATTTTTATTATCAGACTCATAAATCAAACCGTTAGGCAGTCATGGCTGGCACGCCGCCAACATCCCGTCCCCGCCCCTACCGCACAAAAGGGGCAGGGGCTGAAGTTGCCCTTCTCCCTTCTCCCCTTACAGGAAAGACTTTGGATGTTTTCTCTGTTTATTTTGAGAACTGCAGCTATGCGCAAAGCATGCTTCTGCTGCGGCGGTGCAGCGCCAGCCCTGCTGCGCCCCTGACAGTGCATTGCGGGTCTGATGGCTGTGCAGAGCTTCCTGCGCAAGAACTTGGGGGAAACAGGGCAGTCAGAGAGTCCGCAGATCTTCCAAGCTGCTGCAGCACAGATGGGTTACCCGGGGTCCTGGATGGGTGTTGTGGGGTGGTGCTGGCACCTATTTCACAGCCTCTCCTACCCTGTGCTTGCGTGTTATTGACACAAAACAAAACCCTGCTATGAATGCAAATCAAGGAGCAAAGACGTCAGCAGCAGAAGCAATCTGGAGCAGCAAGAACCCTGAATGCTTTGCATTCTAATGTCGAGGGCACGCAGATCTCCACGCAGATAAATCTGCACTGGTGTATCTATCTAATCATGAGTGTGCTTCTGCAAACCAAGTTGGCTCTCCCTTTTCAATCTGGCGACATGAGAAGCAAAGCCTCTGCTCTGAAATATCACAGGCACCCTGTTTCTGTCATGCTCTTCTTTGGGAAGGAAGGTCCTGTCTTCCAGAAATGGACACAGAGACCTCATTCCTTCTCTAGGGAACCACCCTTTGGGGATAGCCACATACAGTTAAGCCATCCACAGTGTGGGGTCTTTCAGCTGCTAATCTGGTCTCTCCAAAACCAGGGCTTCTTTAGCTTCCCTGAGCAATTCTCCTACCTGTGGTGGTGGTGGTGGGGTCTCCTGGGAACCTCTGGAGCCACCAGAAACTTCAAGGGCACAGGCCATAGCTGTCAGTCAAATTGTGGGCCCATATGACAGATGCAGAGCACCTTGGACTCAGAATAAAGAGGCTGAGAAAAACATGTCCTGAATGTTTGTAAACACATAACAACTCCCTTTCTCCAGCCTAAGTTCTCCTTTCTGGCAAATTTCCTCAAAGATGGTACATAATAGCCAGGACCAGAGGGGTGGGTCTGCT